GGACTGATTTCTTTAACCTTTACAACTCTGCAGGCATACATGTCTGCTGGCGATACTCTTTCTCAATATTCTCCAGGCAGACATGTTCACTAGGTGACAGAACTTTGTCTCAAAGGGAAAGTATGTTTCTAAAAATAACCTATTACTATGAAAATTACACGGTTAAGCTTGTGATATGAACTGGGAATGACTAGATGTCAGTCATTTTGTCCTAATTGAAATAGATGTTTTATCAGCAAATTTTTATAAGGTGTTTTAAAAACATTCATTTTTTTTTAGTCACAATGGCGGCTCCTGGGGCAAGGCATGTATCTGTTACATTGATAAAGGAACTTTTCATGGACAGTGAGAGCCATGAAAAAGAATTTCTCAGATATTGCTGATATGCATGACTGAGACTGAAAGTGATTCTGACCTAGAAGGTGGAATTTTCAAACCATCACAAGCATATGATCATCTGTGGCTAGCAGAGTTTTCCTATACTCACAGACCTACAAATGTTAAACAACTAGTGAGGTAGACGTTTTTTGTCTTTTTTTATCTGACATAGTTATTCAATTAATGGTACGGTTTGCTTGGAAGAAATTTTTGTTGATACGTTTGACAACATGACCTTTGTATTTGTTTTACTGGACAACTGACCCCCATTTTATATATGCAAGGCTTTCACAATGTGATGAGTAGGAATCGTTTTTTATCAATTGTGTTGTAATTTTTTTAGTTATCATGAGTTTTTTTTTTCTTAATTTTTATTACATGTACAGTAAAAAAAAGTCTACATTTTCTACATCTATATATCCTGAAAATTTTATAACAATATCTCTAAAACCTCAAAAGTTACAGTGCTAGTAATATACCCACCATTCAAAAACTTACTACACTCAAAATTAATATGGATCCAACTCCAAAAGTTAGTGGGAGTCGTAAAGGTTAAGCTAGAATTAATGGTTATAAAATAAGTAAAAGGAAAATATATTTAGTGTTCAAATATTGTACCACTAGCACAGAAAAAATTAAATATTGTTCTAACTCTGTAAATGAATATGCCTTAAAAGATTTTCACATTCAAATTTGGTTGGTAATGTGAAAATAAAATTTTGTATAAATACACCAAAATAAAGAAATGCAATTTGATTTTTTTGTACAAAACATTTCAAATATGGTTCAAGCATTGTGAAAAGAAACTTGTATGTAATTGTAATATTGTATATTTGCTGTAAAAAATATTGTATAATTACATTCTGTACTTATTGTAAAAAGAAAGTATTCATTCTGAATTGTTCAAAGGTTCATTAGAATTTTGCTTGCATAAGAAAGGTCTGTAATTCAATATAAAATTTATATTTAAAAAAACTGTTGGTTTCTTACATCTTTGTCTGTGGGGAAAATATAAGAAATTTGAGAGAAAACAGATACTGTGTTGGGCTCTTGCATAAATTTTTCAGTTTAAAAAATATTTTTGGTACTTTTAGATTTGTGAGAAAATAGCTGTGTTTATTTTTTATTTGGAACCAATCAAAAGGTTTCTCTCCAAATTCTGAGAAGTTAAGGTGGAGCCTATCTGGGTGAATAAAATGAAAACCAGGAACTAAATTCGTGGAGTTGATGAATAGCTGTTGAATGAACCCACGTTGACCTGGTCAAGAAAAAAAAACACAGAAGAAACCAGACGAGAATTGAAAGGAAGATCAAAGTCATTCCCACATCAAAAAATTCTTCAGCTGGTGTGGTTGTTCTGTTCTTTGTTCTTACCATGGACCTATTCTTTGAAAACTATTCAAAAGTATTTTTCTCCTTTTTTCATTTATTTTTATGTTGTTTACCTTTTCTGAGGACCTTATGCAACATTTTAATTTTTATTTTGATTATTTTTCTCATGTCGGCTGTTTTTGTTGTGTGCCCTTATAAATTAAAATTTACCTCAAACAAGACTATTTTTTCGTAGAGTTTTTTTACCAAATTAAATAACCTCTAGTGTACTGATGATGATGGTGGCTATGCTGATTACATGCTGATTATGCTGATTACAGAGGTATTCATAATTAGGAGAAGAATGAACTTGAACAAAACAATCAACATTCTTTACAAAGTGTTCCTACAAGTAGGACTTAAGATAAACAGAAGACAATGATCTGGAATTGGAATAAAAGCAATGATAGCACAGATATTAAATCAATCATAAAAATTCAGTAAGTAGTATAAATATATACTAAAAACTTCAAAAACCTCAGTATGGATCAGTTACAACCAATTTAATATACTATGAAATAAGGAAATTGAACATAGAAAGGATGCACTAAGGGTAGTTTTGCCCAATACCACAAGATGCAACAAAACCCCAAAAACTTAAGAACTCGAATTGTGTCTTTAAATATCCTTGTCAGGTTTAGACTCTCATATGGATGTCATAGATGGGGCCAAACTCATTCAGAAATATCTAAAATAACAGCTATGTCCAACCATTTTTTTTAGAAGATTTGGATCTTGTATAGAATAGAATGCACAAAAAAAAAATCAATGGCCAAAAATTGAATATTTTCTATTAAAAGTATCATACTTACGTTATAAACAAATTAAGTCTATTTATTTTACTGGTGGATATTGCCTTACAGATATTCTGAGGTCTTGTTTACTGTTTTCCTTTGTATGAATACACCTAAGTTTTTTGCATGAAATGGCCACCATGCTAACATCCCAAATTTACATGATGGTTGCATAATATAATTATTTATACCATCAAAGAAATTTCACGTTTTTATTCTAATTATAAAGATTTGGCCGTTTATTGCTATATTGGAAGTACTGTCAATAAAATATATTTAATAGTAGTTTATATTTTTACTGTACAAAGAAAAACAAGATATAGATAATAATAATGTCTAGCTCAACTTAATGAAATATTTGTTGCTGTATCTTATTTGCAATTTGGTTTAGAAGTTCATAAATATAAATTTAATAAAAGAAGTTCAATTGTTCTATAGGGACAATTGGATTTATTCACCCATTTCACTCAGTATTCACCGAAAGTTGGATAAAATTGATTCTTGGTGTGAAATGGTATTTTTGTCCTGACAAAAAATTCTAATTTATTCTTAACATATATAAAATTGAACTTTTACATCAAATTTTTACCTGTCATTGAAAAGAAATTAGCTGCATTTTGTTATTCTTAAATTCTTGACTAGTATGCTTTAACCTCTTCATTTTTGCTTTTAAATTCATTAATTCCATTAAAACTTGATTTTTTTTTATGTAAAACAAATGTTCAAAGTTTATTTTTTGTGTCAAAAGTTTTATTTTTTGGGTGTAGCAAAATTTTAAAACAATACAAATATTTTTGGTGCAAGAAAAAACAAGCCAAAAGGAAATGCCCATTAATACATTGAATTAAAGTTCTCAACACTTAAAAAACTAAATTATAATTTTATTCTAGGATAAGAAATACAATTAAGACCAACAATCAGTTTTAACCAAAATTTGGGTGAATACCAAGTGAAATGGGCAAGAAAATCCAATGATCACTACAATTGAAAGAAAGCTCTACTACTACAAAGAAAACAATTTAAAATTTCACATTACTTTAAAAAATATAATTCTAAATATGAAATAAAGATTAAGAAATAAAATTGCTAGCAACTGATTTTCATTTTTTCTTAAAACATTTTAAATTTCTTTAAAATAGAATTAACAAAAAGAAAAGAAAAATACATTTACATTCATGTTGATGTCAAATTTCATTTGGGTTTTCAGTTTTTAGTCTGAAAGAAGTTGACTCTACAAGAATGAAAATGTAACTATTTCAATAACAACCAAGATTTTTTTTAAGCAGTCTTTGATTTTATGGAATTGTTATAAAATAAAATAAGACATATCTCGGCTGATTTACAGGCAAATAAACTAAGATACTCAAGAGCGAGAGCCAGATGTCAATGGGACAAGGCCCCGTCACAAAATGACCATTATCTCTGTTTACGCACATTCCCGATGCACGAGTTCTGGTTGAAAAATACAATAATATTTTAAAGTGTTTCTATTTTTCGACCAATAAAAATGCTTCCCTCCTAATTATACTCGGGTTGTTTTATGAGCCTGTCAAGCCATAATAAAACGCCACACGGAAGTACAACGGGAGTCAACAGGAGGCCAGGGAAGAGACCTGTCACGGTCAGGCTGAGCGGTCAGCAGCAGTAGCGCCACACCAACCAGCGAGAACTACTATGAGAGATCAACCCAGATCTTCAGCCAGCCTATGAACTTTACCAAGAGGTAGCTGTCCCAAAACCACATGTTCCTATTGAAATAAATCACGTAAATCTATTTCTACTGTTGTCATATTTCTTTCTTGCAACCATACGCTTGTCTATAACAGAATTCTATCTCTGCACGCATCTTTTATATCTAACTTTCTTTTCACTACCAATTCACAGACATGAAAAAATCAAAATGAAAGAATTGATGCCAAATCTTGGACTTCTCACTAGGTGTGAAAAAACTTTTGATTCAAGTAGGTACCAGCAGACAAATATAGACATTTTAAAACTAAAATTAAAAACTATTTATTTTTAATATCTAATTTTAGGTGCATTTGATAAATAAAAACAAAAAGTTATGTTTCTGCTTCTTCCTTATCGCTGCCTTTGTTGCAACAAAAATAATATACTCCATTGGATGTGCCTCCCCTCCTCACTCCCAGGGAGTGCCGCCTGGGGCCAGTGCCCCCCCACCCCACTGGATTAAAGCAAACAAATCTTGTAATAGTAACAATGGACAGTCCTCTATTAAGAGGACTGTCCATTGTTACTATTAACCGCTATTTTCGCTATTCTCTCTTATGTTGCTAAAAATGAACAAAAATGGTACTGAGAAGTTTTGCAAAAAAAAGCTTAAACAGCTCATTTATGTTTGTATTTTCTGTGATTATTGGTCAAAGGTAAAATATTCCATCATGCAATGTGATTAAATTGAATGTATATAGAAGGTAAAAAAATTTTTTTACTTACTTATTGCCAGTGATTCGGAGCAAGAATTTCCAGTAAGCAGGTCGAAGTGATTGAGGTTCAAACATTGCCTAAAATGAGAAAGGCATTAAAAAAATAATCTGATTTTTGTCAGAAAAAACATAAATTTTAAGAAATTACTTCATATTACATAATTCTAAAAAAAAAATGCAAATAATCCTTGTTAACCCATTAAAGTGTAAATAATTTTAAATTTCTGTCACTGCAATGACAAAAAATTGATACTTATTTTGTTTTTATTAATTTTTAATCATTTTCAATCAAATCATTTTTTAATCATTTTCATAACTTCATGATAAATTAGATAAAAATATTTAGATATAAACAAAAAAATATGTGAGTAAGAGTGAAGTGATAATCGACAAAAATGACCATTTAACAGTGCTTGTCACCCAAATGATAACCAGTTAGCTTCTTTATCTGTTTTTCTTTTTTATATACATTTTTGTTCCCAATAATTGTTATTCTATTGGGAGCATAAAAACCAATAAATTTGTGCAGAAAAGGGTTGAAAGTTTTGTGGTCCATCAGGAACCTCTTCTTACCACTGTCAAATGAAGAAAAATGGCTTGTTTGGACACATTATAAGACCATCCTGCAAGGCACTGTTGAAGGTAGATGTAAGAGAGGATGCCAACATAAAAACTGGTTGAACAATGTCAAACAGTGGACAGGTATGACTATATAGGAATTGCTGATGGTTGCCATTGATAGACTGCTGTGGCTTCTGCATTCAGATCACACTCCCATGATTACAAAAGTCAAGGTGATGATGATGATAATGATGATGATACATTTTCAATTTAATTTGGAGAGTAATATTTACCATTATATTTTGAATTTACTGTGGAGTAAGGGAGGCATGGTGGAGTAATGGATAGTGGCTCGGATTGAGGAATCGGAGAACAGAGTTTGAATTCCAGTCGAACCCATTACATTCATTTATGTGCTAATACCCTTGGAAAAGGTATGAATCCTCTTCTTCTCCCACCAGCTATGGGTAAATAGCAGGACAGACTGGGTTCTATAGCCTAGGAAAGAAAGAAATGGCAACCTATTGCGGGAAAAAATCTGCCTCATCAGTCATGAATCAAAAGATACATGATCACCTAAGCATGTATCACTCATGGCACATAACTAAATATTTACTATTATATATATATATATATATATATATATATATATATATATATTTTGAATTTAATTTGCTGAATAATATTTATCATTATATATATTCTTGATTTAATTTGCTGAGTAATATTTACTGTTGATTTAATTTGGGGAATAATATTTACAGTTATATATATTTTGGATTCAATTAGGTGAGTAATATTTTTTTTTATTTTCCTTGCACTTACTCCCACTTGTTTTAATCTACATATATACATTAGGTAAATATATACTTTACAGTAAATAATTATAAAAAATATTAAAATTTATAAAATTCTATAATTGTAGGTCCCGCAACATTAGTTACAATCCTAGTTCGCTGCAGCATTCATAGTAACTATTGCTGTTGCCTGACATTTTTTATGACTACAAATTAGACAAACAGAACAAAAATGCTTTTTTACAGAATTATCTAAATAAGTATAAATGATTTATTTAATTAGATTTTCTATAAAGTGAGCCAGATTATTTAAACAAGTGCTAAATTAATTATTATAGACATTACAATATTTAAATGATTCTCTCAGGGTCAGCTCTATATAGCTATCTCTAGAGTATAAAATTCAAGTGAACATGGCATAACAAAAAGAACTAATATAGAATTTTAGAAGTAAAGAGAATTTCTATTAAAACTTACTTTTCTCTGTCCATAGGACAGGTATTCAGCTAGTAAGTGGAAATTCACCAGGTATATTTACAGAAATTTAAGTTTATCCTTAATTTTTTAACATCAGTTACTCAATAATTTTATTAATTAAACAATGACTGACTTTTTGTAAATATTTGAGTAAATATTATTACAATTTTATATGTATATATAATGGTAGTATAAATACCAAACTGTTGATGCATATTCTATAATGACAGGTTAAAGAATGATATTTGGACAGCATTCTCATCTTGAGGAAGAGAAAACAGGCATTCAAATGAACATGATATTTTACTGGTTGATCACCTGTCATACAGAAAAAAAAATTCTTACCTGAGGAAGAGAGGATATGCATTCAAATAAACTAGACATTTTACTGATTGTTAATCTGATATAAATTACATTCTAATTTGAGAAAGAAAAAATAGGAAATCAAATAATCTTTTACTGGTTGATCATCTGTCATAAAGAAAAGAAATAAATTCTCATTTGAGAAAAAAAAGATAGGCATTCAAATGAACATATGGTTTGTTGTCTTTCACTTACTAAGAAAAATGCAAATGTAAATTTCATCTCAGGAATAGAAGATAGGCATTTAAATGAACATGTTGATCTGATTGATCATAAGTTACCAAGAGAAAAATACATTTTCAACTGTGGAAAAGAAAATAAACAAGAGAAAGTCAGTAGTCAAATGTTCATGACTTTTTACCAGCTGATTGTCCTTTGTAAAGAAAAACGCAAATCTTCATTTGAAGAAAGAGAAGATAGATATTCAAATATTTTACTGGTATATCATATGTCATGAATAAAAAATGAATTTTCATCTGAAGAGAAGATAAGCATTCAAATGAAAACAACCTTTTATTAGTTTATCATCTGTCACAAAGCAAAAATATTTTTCTGGGGTGAAAATAGGCATTCAAATGAATATGACATTTTACTGGTTGATCATCTGTCAAAATGAAAAAAATAAATTTCTAGCTTGTTAGAAATCTTCCTCTGTAGTTCCTGTCTTTAAAAACTCTGGTATAACTTCTGATCTCTTGAATTTTCATCCTGTTAGTCTTTTACCTCTTAATATTAGAGGCTCTAATCAACTTCATCTCACTTCACATGGCCTTCTTTCAGATAAAATATATGACTTTTGTTTCTTTAGGTCAACTGCTAATGTGTTAAGGGTTATTACTGAAATTTGTCTATTAGGTTGTATATAATAATTTCAAGACACCGGTTTTAGATATCTCAAAGGTGTTTTGACATGCTGGCCTTCTCACAAGATCAAGGGCTATGGTGTCACTGGTTAAATACTTGATTTAATCCAATCCTTAACAAATTCAGTAATGAAGATCATTTTCAATGGTGATGCTTCTAGATCATTTCATATTATCCAATGTTTCTTATCTTCATCAAAGACCTTTCTGATGTTATCAGTTCTTAACTAGGTATTTATGCTGTTGACAACTATTTACTTGTACATTAATAGTAAGTCTCATAAATCCAACAAAGTAAAACTGGCAGCTGCTTTCTAAATAACCTCCAATCAGTTGTTCATTGAAACAAGAAATGATTAAATTTTAACACCTCCAAAACAAAACTCCCATCATCATAGAGAACCATTTTTGCCCTCCATCAGCATGGCTGGTGCTAAACTCAAGGAGAGCAACTCATTGCACCTTCTTGATCTTGTGTTTTCCACTGACATGAAGTGGAGTGATTATATTGAATCAAAAACTAGGTCTGCTGCTAGGAAAATTGGTTCACTGTCATGCAAGATAATTTTTCTCATCAGAATTCATCTTATACATTTATAAATCTACCATTCCCCCATGCATTTAACATTGCTGCCACATGTCTTTTCTATAAATATTTTCATGTCAGTTGATCTAATGTGGTCTTCTTCCTGGTACTGTGACCACATGAATTTAAGCTTACTACTAGATTGGCAACTAGTTATAATTGTTTTACTGTTGAAATTGATGAAATGATAAATTCTATTGTAATCGTTTCTTTTCTTGTACTTTTCATCTGAGGAACTCTGCTACCTACTATCTTCAAAAATAAATACAACATCAGTCGTTATCTTCCATCTTCTTACATCTTGTGCTTTTATTGTCCTTTCTGCTCACTAAAGTTTTCTCATTCTCATCCACTCCCAGTAACTTCTTTGTATCTTATTGACATTATTGCCTTGCTTAAGGTGAAATGATTAAAATCACATATGAGAAGATAGGCATTCAAATGAATATGACCATTGATCATTTGTGATAAAGAAAAAAATTATTAGAGAAAGAAAAGATAGGCATTCAAATAAACATAAGGTCTTACTTGACTCTGATGAAGAAAAAAATAAATTTTCACCTCAAGAAAAGATGATAGGCATTCAAATGAACGTGACCTTTTACTGATTGATCATCTATCAAAAGAAAAATGTCAATTTTCATTGAGCTCAATGAGGCGATGAAGGAGAAAACCAAGTCTTAACTCAGAAAGAATTTGTGCTCTTTCTGCTCTATGTTGAAAGAGAAAATCAGAAAAAAGATAGGGTAAACTTTAGTAGGTCTTGAAATAAAGTAATTGTATGCACTACCAGTCTCAACTAATCGCAATCTTTCTATTACTCAATAAAAGAATTCTACCTTGCTTCATGGGATAGTTTTTAGTTCTTCTTGGATGAAGAGCTCATTGTACTTGCAAATTGTGATGTGAATTTTTTACCCTTTTGTATTTTCTGACATTGGACTATTGCTATTTTGGCAGAAATTTCACAAGATGGTGGATAAGACATATGACATAAGGTTGATTCCTGAATTCTATGGTGAAAAAACTGGTCAGACTGATTGAACATGTGATAGTTGTCTGTGGACTTTGCCAGTGTAGTGTTACTAGCAAATAAGTATGCATAATTTGCATAAGCATAAGTGAACACTCATATAAGTGGTCACTGGGAATAACGAAGTAGAAGTTTAGCGGCTGATTAGTGCTAACTTCAACTTCACAACAATGGCGTTGCCAATAGGATATCAATTGTCTCTGGAAGATCCAGATTTTGTGGATACATGGATTCGTTGTTTCTCTTCCACTGCAAGAACAAAAAAGTTGAAAGGCAACAAGGAAAAGGAAGGCGAAAATGAAATCACGGATTTATTTTTGGTTACAGCTGGATGCGAGGCAGTAATGAAAGTCTCCATCATGGCATATCCCTCAAATTTGGAAGACCTGACTTTCGAA